ATGATGATGATACATGATGATGATACATGATGATGATACATGATGATGATACATGATAATGATACATGATGATACATGATGTTGATGATACATGATGATGATACATGACAATGATACATGACGATACATGACGATTATACATGACGATGATACATGACGATGATACATGATGATGATACATGATGTTGATACTGTACATGATGGTGATACWTGATAATGATGATACATAATAATGACGATGACACATGACACATGATGGTGATGATGATGGTGAAAGCAGTAGTATTGTATAGAACAGTAGCAGTAGTGATGTTGATAAAACAAGAAGATGATTGATGATATAAAAATACAGGATACTGATGAAATAATTAAGATGAATAAGAATTTGCTATGCTATTTGAAGATAATGACAAGAACAGGAGTCACATTTGACTTTTTATTTTGTACATTCAGTCAAAAAGTTCAAGTTTGCTGAAGAAACCAACCAGCTCCAATTTAAAGAACTTAAGGTGGTTATTGAAAAGCTACCCCAAGATATAGTAAACCACTATTTACAAAGAAACTCACCAACAACTCCCAGCCAAAAACAGGTCAAGAAAGCATACCTACATGGGGAAAAAGTTAATATCGTCTTCCCTGGACTAGAAAAATCGCCGCGAAAAAGTTTGTTCCCAGAAGCCTCCACGTCACTGYCATGTCCAAATGAGGATAAAGATGAAGAAGCCGAAAACCTACTTAACATCAATGTCAAACAAGAAAATACACAGCCTGTTTCTGGTGAAGCAATCCCCAATGATATGTCTGTTCAAAATGAGAATGACAAATACTTGCTTGAGACTTTCCTTGATCAGGTTGTCGAGGATAATAACACAGAATTAATGGCCCTAAAGGAAATGAGTGAAAAGCTAGAAGGAAGTCCTCTTCAAGGTCTTTTTGGAAAACTTGAGGAACAGCAAGTTGGTGGCAGCAGCATGGAGGAGGAACAACAGCAAGAAGAAAGTTTTGAGCAGTATTCCAGCTCCTTTGATGATAAACAACTCTTTTCTCCAGGTTCTTTTTTGGGTGATGTTTCAGGCTCAACTGATATGAGCTCCAGCCCAGAAAGGATTGAGATGAAAGAGATAAAAAGGGAGCCACAAGAAAGGGAGAAATCTTCTTGGAATGGAAAAGAAGTTGTTGATAAAGCTTTGTTTTACGACCCTGGAAAAGACTCTTCTTTCAATGTAGCCAAAGAGGTAATACTTTTAGGAATAATTTGGGCTTGCCCCGCAGTAGACAGCAACTCCAAATCCTAAACCCTTTCCTGAGTGATTTAGACTAAATAAGTGAACACTGAATGCTGACCCCTTTCCTTGTCGGTTTTTGACCAACACAGTATACGACAAAGTCTCCCCCCCCCTCTATATGAAGTTCTGCCCCCCCCTCTCCCCACCCAGCCACCACAAACATACATTTACGTTAACTACCAATTTTCATCATCCATTTTCTCATAATGATGATTATCATTTAAAGRTTGATACAGAAAACATCAAGACATACGATGAAAAACAAATGTCCAATGAATTAGCAACTGATGCTCATCCAAAAGCCATGCCCAGTGCACTAGACTTTGCTGATGATCAAACAGAGTTGCAACAATATGTAGGTTCTGCAAATACAATGGATAAACTACGCCACTTCAGTTATACCCCAATTCCAGTAACAAAAACCACACAGAAAGACAGTAAAGAAAATGAAAAAGTTAATCTCTCCAACTCTAGTGAATGTTGTAACAGTCCTACAACGTTAACAAATGAGGATCAAATTGAGGTCCCATCACCTCTGAGGAAAATTTCCATGGAAGATGGGTTACCCCTTGACGGCGTGACATCTGAGAATTCAGAGTATCACAACTTGTCTCCTTCAGTAGTACCTTCGACAAGCCAAAATTCTGCACTTTTGAAAATACCCACAGTCACACAATCCAATCCCTTCTCTAGCTCTAGTTTTCCGGCAGTATTGCAAGCTCAGGAAATTACAGCCAAACGATTTTCTGGAAATGCTATTAGTACCACTCTTCACCAAGAATCTTTGGGCAGTAGACTGTTCAGCAATACTAATGCTGCAGTTCAGGGTGCTAGCTCTGTTGCTGCACCACAGCTTCAAAGTCTGTCAGTGGATAATGTCACAACAAGTGGGTTAAAAAGTACATTTGGGCCACCACCAACACCTGCACCTCTGGATTGCCTTTCAAGTTCTGGGATACTATCTACTCAAGTACCTTTGTTTTCCTTGCCTGGAAATGTTTCCAATTCTGGTTTTCCAGCTAGGAATGGTACCTATAGCACTCCAAGAACACCGGTGGTTTCTCTTCTTGGAAATCCTGCAACCAATTCCAGTTTACCAAGTTTTGGAATGGCATTTAATCAGGTACCTTTGCTTTCGTTACCTGGAAATGTATCCAATCCTGGTTTTCCGGTTACAAATGGTACCTATAGCACTCCAAGAACACCAGTGGTTTCTCTTCCTGGAAATCCTGCAACCAATTCCAATTTACCAAGTTTTGGAATGGCATTTAATCAGGTACCTTTGCTTTCGTTACCTGGAAATGTATCCAATCCTGGTTTTCCAGTTACAAATGGTACCTATAGCACTCCAAGAACACCAGTGGTTTCTCTTCCTGGAAATCCTGCAACCAATTCCAGTTTTCTAAACTCAAATCAGCAGCAATTTCTTCAAATGGGTTGTAATAGAAATACTTTTTCATTGAATGCAATTCCTCATTCACTACATAATGGCATGCGACAAGCTGAAATTCTGAGACAGACGATGACTTTGACCAACATTTCTTCACCCACAGGAAACAAGGCAATGACAGGTGTTAATCCTTTTTATTATGGAGGGGGAAATGTGCAAACATATTCATTTCAAGGACAACAGTTGCCGCGCGCACCGTTTGTCACTCCTCATACAAGTGCTGCTTTACGAGGACCCTACCCCTACAATGCATTAACGAACAATTTCATGGCCAACTCCCTTTACCCAGTGCAATCACCTAAATACTACCCTCCTTTTGGAAGTCAAGCCACTCAATTTCTCCCTCTAAATCACCCTTCTCAAGCACCAGCCATAAGGTATAGCTTTCCTCCAACTAATGGACTTCCTGCAGATTCAAGTCATGTATCCCTGAAAAAAGCTGATGTAGCAAGCGTTCCGCCTTACGCTGTAACCAACCAGTTATCAAGAGAATTGCCTAGACAATACCCAACCTCAACATCTTATCAGTTAACCAGTCAGTCTGTTACAAAGACCACTCCATCATCAGAAGAGGTACCAAATGCAAGACAATACCCACCCTCAACATCTTATCAGTTAACCAGTCAGTCTGTTACAAAGATTACTCCATCATCAGAAGAGGTACCAAATGCAAGACACTGCGCACCCTCAACATCTTATTTAACCAGTCAGACTGTTACAAAGACCACTCCATCATCAGAAGAGGTACCAAATACAAGACACTACCCGCCCTCAACATCTTATTTAACCAGTCAGTCTGTTACAAAGATCACTCCATTGTCAGAAGAGGTTCCAAATCTAAGACACTACCCACCCTCAACATCTTATTTAACCAGTCAGTCTGTTACAAAGACCACCCCATCATCAGAAGAGGTACCAAATGGGCAGTCAAGTCAATCTCTTTCATTGACCAGCCAAGCATCAGATACAAGGCAAATCCAAACTTCAACTATTACAACAGCTTCTGAATCTAATGATGTTAATACTGGTTTAAACACATATAATGATAACAATGTAGGAGAGGAGGAAGTTCCCACCGGAACTAAAAAACTGCTTGAGAAAAACCCGCTGGCAAAGGCCATATTCATCTTGATGCAAAAATGTCAATCTTTACCAAAAGAAAGACGAACATCTGTTATAAATAAAATAGAGCAGATGCTTCAGACGCGCCGGCAAAGATTAGCCATTACTCATAAAGATATCAATGATTTAGGAGAATTAGTTGGAGCTGAAATAAAGAATGATTCTGTTTTTTGTGATTTCTTAAAGTTAATAACTGCACGACCAGTGGTCAGGGACTCTAACGGCGCGTTCCATACTATAAGCAATTCTGAAAAAGATGATACGTGTAGGACGCAAACTGTTGTTATTGATTTGGAAGAGGATACTCCTGTCACGCAATCTCAAGGTAGTCACATGGAAACTGTCACGCCATCTCAAATGGAGAGTGACACTCTTACTGACAACGGAATAGAAATACCATCTGATAATCTTCTGGAAACTAGTATGTCAGCCAATGACGATGTGGTTATTAATGATCAACCGACAGAGAAAGAGTCTCTTCCTGCGAGTGGATTAAATATGGTTAATGATCCACCCACAAGTRATGCAGTGCCACAAGCAGAGTCCAGTACACAGCGGTTTAACTCATTACTTCCAAGACCTATTCTCCAAGTGTCAAAAATTCAAGATATGACAATCCTTCTCTGGGACATCCCAGATCAATCTAGTAGTGAATTAGTCAAAGAGTACGAGCTGTATGCAATCCAACTAGGAGCAACTGAAAGGTTAACTAAGGATTTGATACGATTAATGACGTGGAAGAAGATTGGAACTGTCAGAGCTCTTCCAACGCCGATGGCAATTACCCTTACGAACTTGGTTCAAGGTTTTAAGAATTACATGATAGTGAGGGCTATAGGTTCAGATGATTGTGTTGGCCCTTTTTCTCGTATGTGTGAAGTCATATGTGAATCTTGATATTTGGCATTAATATACACAGCTAAATCATCAAAAGGTCGGTGAAGGCTTTTGTTGCATGTTGGTCATGTTGCATGCTGCAAGTTACATGTTGCACGTTACATGCTGCACGTTGCATGTTGCATGTTGGTCATGTTGCATGCTGCATGTTACATGTTGCACGTTACATGCTGCATGTTACATGTTGCATGCTGCATGTTGCACGATGCACGTTGCAATCTGCTTGTTACATGTTGCAAGTTGCACGTTACATGCTGCACGTTGAATGCTGCTTGTTACATGTTGCAAGATGCATGTTGCAAGTTGCACGCTGCATGCTGCTTGTTACATGTTGCATGTTGCAAGATGTACGTTCTTCACCTCGTAATACATGGTCAATAAAAGACGCCTTCACTAACCTTTAGTGAATTAGCTGTATTCTCCATGACACTGGGTAAGCTTATAGGAGTTTCATGCCTCACCGTGAAGACTGCGGACTAAAGGTTTATAATAGTCAGGGGTGGATCCAGGGTTTGGACATGAGTAGTTTACTCTGAATTTATACCCAACCCACCATCCCCCTATTAGTTATAAACTGCCTAAAAGGATACATCTAGCATAGCATGCTGTCTGCAGTCAAGATCCTTGTACAGATTTATCTCAGTTGAAGAATC